TACAATATTCATTCTCCAGTGAACAGTATCCAGCTATTAAGTAGAAGAAGGGGCTTTTTTTTATTATTACTGACATGCAAATAGAGCATGAATTCTAATCATGAAAGCTGTTCATAAGAAAGATAAAACACCTGCTTGGATAGACACCAAAGCTAAAACACATTCTTGATATCACAAGTCATCAAGTGATAAGATCTTGCTCTTATGAAGTGTTTTTAGGTGGTAGGTTCAGGTTGTAAAGCATACTTAAAGGGAAATCAATACTGCAGGAAAACATATTGGGAAGCTGGCAGAGTGAAGGAGGCACAAATTCTGCTAGCCAAGAGGACAGTGGGAAGAAAGTCCTTGTCTCTCTATTCCATGATCAGGCTCATTTCCTTGCAGACTGCTGCTGTGTTATTTTAAGATATGCATCATAAAGATGTGTGCAAAAATACCAAGAGAAAAACAGCCTTTGTGAATCATTGTTGGAATTTAACCCCAGCTGGCACCCCAGCCCTCATTCACTCCCTCCCCTGTGGTGGGATGGTGGGAACTGAAATGGTAAAAGTGAGAAAACTTGTGGGCTGAGATAGAGACAGTTTAATAGGCAAAGCAAAAGCTGTGTACACAAGCAAAACGAAACAAGGAATTCATTCACCACTTCCCATGGGCAAGCAGGTGTTCAGCCACCCCCAGGAAAGCAGGGCTCCATCACACATAGCAGTGACTTCGGAAAACAAATGCCATCACTTGGAATGTCCTCCCTTCCTCCTTCTTCCCATCTTTATGAGCTGAGCAGATGCCATGTGGTGTGGGATGTCCCTTGGGTGATTTGGGGTCAGCTGTCCTGGCTGTGTCCCCTCCCAGCTCCTGGGGCACCCCCAGCCTCCTCACTGCTGGGGTGAGGAGCAGAAAAGGCCTTGACTGTGTCAGCCCTGCTCAGGATAATGAAACACCCCAGGATTACCACACTGTTTCCAGCACAAATCCAAAACACAGCCCCATGCAGATACCATGGAGAAAATTAACTCTATCCCAGCTAAAACCACCTTAAGTGTTCATTCAAATTATTACAATACTGTATCAGGAGTTTGTCCACTGAAACCCAAAACTCTCCCATATCACCAGTTCAGCCTCCCAGAACACATGGGACAACAGTGTTTCATGATGTTCAAATAATATGTGAAAGAAAAAGTATACTTTAAATGTTTTTACAGTCACTTTTCACCATATAATCCCTTAAAATAAATATCAGGATTATGTTCTGCTGTTTTTGAGAAGTATAAAATATGTATATTTTCTTCTATACAAGAAATTTGTAAGAAATGTTTGAATAACTGTTTTAATTTATTTTCTATCTATAAAATTCTCTTCCTACAATGGATCCTTTAAACAGAAGCTGATAGTTTAGTGGATGAAAATGTATAAAAGTCCATAGTCAGTCACCTGCCTTTTGTAAGCCACAGTAAAATCAGTTATGATGATGAGAGGGAACTGATTTGGAATTGGAAAAACTGAGTTTCTTGAATACTTTCACATACACAATATCGTTTCTTACAGATGTTGAATTTACTTAGTTTATGATCTTTCCTCTATATCTCTCTGAGCCCACTGGTTTGGATCTGTGAAGTGCCATGATTTATTGAGGTTAGGCTTTGGTGGTGTTTAGGTATTCACTTTAAAATATGCAAATCTCAAAAATTTCACTTAGCACTACACGATGTCTGTAGAGATATAAACTTTCCCTCATAAATTTTTCCAGCGACCTACAATTCTGTTTTTAGGACTTCTCAGAAGGACCAGTCAAGCTCCACAGTCAGGTCATCCCTTACCCACATTGTCTGAAGGTCCTGATCCCATTGTTGCGCTCAGGGAACACCTATAACATCCTTTTCCTCCTGTGGCTACTGCCACATTTGGAATCATGGCTAGGAGAAATCTCCCAGAGATCATACAGCTTGTCTTGTAGCTTAGGTGCTCTCATGACAGGACAGCAAGGACTTGCTAACACACATGAAGAAGGGGTCAACCACTTCCTGCCTCCCCTAAAGAACATTGTGTCATTCCCTTCCCTTCCCTTCCCTTCCCTTCCCTTCCCTTCCCTTCCCTTCCCTTCCCTTCCCTTCATTAATTTTTTCACGTTTCCTGGGCACAATACCACAATTGGGATTATCAATTATATTGCAAAACCTGGGGTCATCCAAACTTTTTAAATAGAGAAAATAGCAGAGAAGGTAATTGCATATCATCCATAAGACATAGCTACACAGCAGATTTTTTTAAAGTGCTCTATTTTCAATAAAACAATACTTTAAAAATTGGTCTGTAAGCTCCTAAAAGCTCCTAAACCAGCATCCTCTCTTTGTTCCTTTTCCAACCTCTGTCTCAGTTCTTCTTGGATGTCCCAGGATATGAGTCAAGAATGACACTTGCAGGCAAGGGAAATCTGCAGCAACCAGCAAGCCTATTGTTCCATGGTAGGTAAATGCATTACCTGAATACACAGTCATCCTTGGCATAAAACCTGCTTGTTGATCCCAGCCCTTCTTTACTTTAATATTCTTTACTTTTACTGTATTTTATTCTTAGATCTGAAAATTCCTCGATTCCTTTAGTACACTCATGTGCTCAAATTCAAAGCCAGAGTTTGTGAGTAGATCCTTAGCAGATTATAAGGTGCCTTTCACCATTTTACACATGGTAAAATGTTAAATTGATTTATTGTAAGAATATATTGCAACAAGAGTTTGTCTTGAAATCATGGATCATCAACCAGGGGACAAATTAGCCATCTACTGTACTCTGGGCTTCATCTTCTGTGACAACCCTGGAAAATACTTTATAGTGAATTTTAATGCCCTCCTTAGGTCAATTTTGAGCTGCAATTTGTCATGCATCATTAATTTAAAAGTCTAAACAAGACCTGATATTAATTATTGCTTCATAGTAGCTGAACATTGAATATTTATATAGCTGCAGTAATATTCCTGTTCTCAATCTCTACCTAAAAGCATCTGGCTGCTGAGCATTTGGTACTCAGTGCTTATTTTGTTTCATGCACTGCATTTGCACCTACTAGGACAAATACTACAATATAAAGCATGAGATTATAGTATTCATTTTTAAACCTCCTGTGTGGTATCTGGCACACACAGAGATTTTCCCAGCTCTAGAAATCGAGTCACTGTCGTCTCAGACCAGCAACCACAACCAATGTTTTCAAAGCTGTCAGAAGCTGCACTCTTTTTTATACCCTTAGATGAAAGTGACCAGATTTTTGGAAACATAAAAACTCCAATAAAATCCCAGCTGAAATCAATGAAGTGTAATTATTAGTACTTCTAATTAGCAGTAGTCTATATTGACTCTTAGGTGTTTGTGTCTGGTCATACTCTTTTACCTCTTTAGCCCAGACACTCCCAATAAACAGCCTGTTATATTAGAAAAGGAGTTCTTCAGTTTGATATTAACGTTTCACAGAGTGACTGTGGCACAAAGGAACACAGGTACAGCTGATACTAATACATTAATTGCAACCAGAGTCTCAGAGAACAGATTTCTAATAGTATTGGAATTACTGTGAATGGATAAAAATTACAAAGTGCAACATGGGTCTAAAAACTTGTCTTTACATACTTAAAGAATTTGAGAGTGTTTTAATTCCAGAGCTAATCATTAGCTTTGCAAAGACTGATAAACAAAAGAAAGGAGGGGAGGGCTATTGTCAAAGGATTTTCCCTTAGAGAATCGCCTTGAGGGCACGGTGGGAGAGGTGAAGATTCCTTCCCGTCAGGCAGCCAAAAGGCAGAGCTTTCTTCCTTCAATCCTCCCTGGCCTTTCCTGCCCCCCTTCCTGAAGGGGCACCGAAATGACGGCTGCAAAGGCAGCCCTGGGCTCCCAGCCCTGACATCGGGGTGGCTCCGGCCGGTGCTGAGGCTGCAGGGGGAGGGAAGGGAAGGGCAGGAGGAGCAGGAAATCCCCCGATGTCAGGGAACAGATAACCTTCCTCGCCCTTCATCCCAAGGGCACTTTGAAGGAGCTGACTCCATCCATCCTGGCCTGGAATGAGCCTGTGATTTAGCCTGCCCCACCTTTTGTGGTTTGTTTCCCTGCAGCAGCAATGCAGCCGGGCCAGTCCGGCTGCGCCCAGCGGGCAGCGCTGCGGCCGCCGAGAAACGCGGGATTCACATCCAGAGCTGGAACAACAACCGCGGTTCGTGCAGGGGGCAGAGCCTGGGACTCTGCTTGAGAGGCCTGGTTATTTATTAATTATATTTAAAGTTTTATAACAGCTTAAAAGGAATGCGAGCCAGAGGCAACACTTGCAGTGAAGCCTCCCTTGTGCAATGCTTGTGTAATTCTCTTGCTTTAGCGCTTGGATTTGTGCAGCTGTATTAGACTCGAGACTGTTCCCTTCTCTGATGCCTCCACTGGCCCTGGTGATTTCTTCATCCTTTGACATGGGAATGTTCTGACAGACAGACTCCCCCCCAAAAGCACTACTGTGTTTTGGAAGTCGAGCAGGAAGACCAATACAAAATCTTTCCCAATCTCTTTCTAAGGAAAATCTGAAAGATTCTTGCCTTTTGCTACCCTCTTGGTGAAATTAGAGAGAATATTTTGCAAACCACTTTCCTTCTCCTTAAAGTCCCACTTGCCATAATGAGATGAGCGTGTTTGATAGACTGCAGGATCAAAATTTCTGATAAAGAGCCTGACAAAATTAGAGTATCAAGGAGTGGTGTCAGTGAACGTGTTCAGGTGAGTCCAGAATTGAGGTATACTGGCTTGTCGAGTTGGGAAACGCTTTGATAAACATATTTATGATTTGCCACTACCTTTTACATAGTGCAAAGCAACCATTTATTCAGTAGCAGGCACTTCTGAAGTACAGATTCCCTGGTGTAAATGGTTTGACTTCAAAACACTGGGAACAGGAGAAATTGATTTTGGGTGAGCCTATTTGGTGCATGGATAACCAAGGGCCGGACCCAAAGACTGCTTGCAAAGGTACCTGGTATTAATGACCGGTGAGCCTGCTCCGGGTCTCCTCCAGCATCCTGAGACCTGCCCCATTCCAGGCAGCCGCTGCCATCTACAGCCACCTGCTGGCCCATCCCTGCATCCTGAATGTTCTGCACAAGCTCCTGCAAGGCATAAGGAGAAGGTAGGGTGTCAGTATTTCATACCACCAATGTCTTTTTAAACAAATATCACCTGTTTAATCTGATCATAGCTTCTCGTTCTGAAGAGATCTGTTGAGAACTTTTACTGCCTTCGTGTTCTCTTTTAATCACTTTATGTGAGCCAAGTTTCTTCCAGACACTTAGCACACCTTAGCTAATGAAAACATTGCAGTTTTGCATGGCAGATGAGTATAATTATACCCATTTTGCAGCAGAGAGTACTGCGAATTAAGCCAGGTGAAGCTCCAAGGTCTCAGAAGCATCATTGGTAGAGGCCCTTGTCTGACCATTCCTGCCTGCACAGTTTGATACTTGCTGGTGTTTCTTGAGATGCTGGCCCCAAGGAAGGAGAGACTGGGAAATAAGATCTGCTGCACCTTGTTAGAAGATATGTGAGGAGTCCTTGGAAATCTTTTCACCCTCTGTCCTTCCCTACTGCTGTGTTTAGCTTTGCAGAGTGCAAGCAGGGCAAGGCAGGCCTGAAAAACACAATGCAAATTCAATGTATTGCAGATGAGGTGTGGGTTGTACTTTAATTTACCAAATTTGCATAGCCAGTATTAGCTATATCCTAATGTACTTAAAAATATGTTAATCAATTAAGAAGTGCTTAGAAAATGATATGCAAACTAAATGAAATAAGGCAGCTGAAGGTATACTTAAGCAAGTGGTTCTAGAGAGGTTTCTTCAGCTCAGTGTCTGTGGAGAAGATGCCACCCCATTTCAGCAAGGCCTTATCAAGATAAGCTACTAAGTGACTGCTTTGATTTTAGCAGTAAACAATATTATCTGTGTTTCTTGATTTCTTTTAAATTAATGTGCAACTTTCTGTACTTGTTGCAGGTTTCATAAACAAACACAGCAAAGGTAGCAAATGTAATTGACCCACTAACCGCAATGTAAAATGATAATCAACAGCTTTTGTTATTTCCATTCTTGTTTTGCTGACTGTGCTATTTCTTCCCTATTCCCTTGTTCAGTGCATTAATCCTTCAGTTACCCTGTTGATTTATTTTTTCCTGGGAAACAAAATCTTCCTGGCCCATTATGCATCTCTTCTGACCTTTGGTGCTGTTCACTTGACTAGAGAGAGAACACTTGTTTCTACAACTCTTGATGCTTACAACTATTACAAAGAACAAAGCAGATGAACAAAGTGACTGTGGTGGCAATAAGGAAATAAATAGCTGTGATCTTAGACCAGTTTCAGTCTGTTCCTGATGGCTCCTCTTTGTAGGCATCCTCCATGTACAATCACTGAAAAGTCTACTTCCTAACTTCCAAGGTTCAAGCCTGCATATCTTGGATGATCCTCATCCTCTCTGATTTATTGCCCTTGACACCAGTATTAAATGTCTGTGCTCTGATACCTTGTAGCACTGGGCATAAAGATTTTTCTATGCTCTTTTTGTTTCAGTCTAGACTTTCCTTCAAGTGTCTTTCCCCAAAGCTTTTCCTCCCACCTCAAGGTGAAGCCTTCTCAAAAGGTATTGCTGCCTCCCCATCCTGAGTCCTCTGTCCTTGGGTGACCTCTCCTGCTGATGTGTATGTAATTATTACCTCTACCCAACTACCTTTAAAATATTATCTACTGTTGATCTTCTACACATCAGTTTCACATCCCACTGCCTCCCTTGTGCTATATCCTCACAGACAGCTTGCTACCAAGCTCTCTGAGATCCAAAAAAGGAACTCATTAAAAAACAAACCCAACAACACAGCTTTCCTTAGGTCTCTGGCCAGCAGCCAGTGTGTGTGTGTCAATTTAAATGTCTTTGATATTTAAATTTAGCTCCCTCTTGCTGCTGATACCATTTGGCAGAAGGTATGCTTACAACATTATTCCCAGAGCTATGCACCAGACATCACTGCGCTCCACTCAAAACTTCCCAAGAATTCACATTTTTGAATAACAAATATGTAGGAATGAGTAAATTATCAATGTTATCCTAATTGGCTAACAGGACGATTTCCTTGTTTTCACTCTCTTCTTTCTGCCGTCTATGTTTGTATGCTGTACCAAATCTTCTAGCCAAGGAATATCTTTAATTGTTCTTGACATACCTTAAGGTTTCTTGGAAAATTAATATGTGTTTTACAAGTTTGGTTTGTTTTGGTTTTTTAAAATAGAATTGCAAGGCAGTAAAAACATAGTTTATTAATGGTATAGTATGACTATAGAGCCGCAATGCTGATATGTGGTATCAGAGGCAAATGTATTATCTGACTGAGAATGCTGCACTTCTAGGTCCCAGATTTGACATAGTTGTGCAAGGTACTGCAGATCAGACTAGAGATTTTCACACATTGAATGTCTTGGTTTAACAAGAGAAGGAAATAAGTTGCCCAGCAGAAAGACTGAGAAGGATCCTTCAACTATATTAGCTCATGGCTTTTCTCAGAAAACTTCAAATCTTCAGAGTTGTGCAAGAATTGCCTTCATATATTTCTGAAGAATTACCTTCATATATTTCTGAATATAAGAAGAATTCATATATTTATGAATTCTTCTTCACTGAGGTTCCTAGTTTCTCTTTTGAGAGGGACTGCTGAGCACTCTGTGTTTATTAGTATTCAAATCTGTAAATTTTAAAGCATTACAGAATGAAGTTACAAAACTAGGATTCAAGTGATTCTATGTAATTTTAGGCGGTTTTGAGCAAAATATAGGTGCTATTAGCTGTAATAAATCAGTAAATACATTTTTTCAAGAGAAAATTAGTGAGAGTTACTTAGATGTTGCCATAACCTGACAATACTAACATCTATATCTTTACAGGACCCAGATACTTTGAATTTAGACAGAAATCTCAGATTCAGGGGACAATTTTTTTATCCCTCCTATTTCATCTGCAGGATTTGATACAATTTATATGCTGATATGTAATTCTATACAGTCATGGCTGGAGGTGTCTGCTTTTCATCCATAACAGCTCAGAAGTGAAGCATTCATCCAGACCTAAAACACCTCCAGGTTTTATCTCAGGACATTGGAATTGGCTAGGTGAGTGCTGTAGTCACCCAGCTGCTCAGGGGAGAAGTTCTGAAGTGGGCATTTCATTAAATTATTAAATACCAGGAAGAGCTGGGTAAAGCACCCACTTCTTGAATGCTCTAACAACCATATTGTACTATACTTATTGGCTTTCTTTGTCATATTCAGGTGTGTCATACAAAGCAGAATATCCTGTAGTAGATGGATAAAGTGAAAGCAAAGAGGAGGGAGCTCTGGACTAACACCTTCTCCAGAGTAATGGCACTTGAACTTTGGTCTCCCACATCCTGGGTGCCTTGCCTGGGCAGCCAGATTATTGCCTTGAGCATTTAGATAAATGGTCAAGTCCTGGCAATCCTTTGAAAGGGCTGTTGACCTTCATCCTACTTTTCTTCCTAAGAGGACAGTTACAACTCAGTAACTGCAGAATCAGAATCCCAAATGCAAATGGTTAGAAAGCAGGAAGTAGAGTAAAGCTCCCGTGGATAAAATCTTGTAAATAGATAATCATCTTTCATGGATACCTGCAGAAATCTCCCCTCATGTCTTTTTCCTTAGCCCTTTTTTGTTCATGCAACCCTAATCATTAAGCTGCAGAGAAGACCTGCTCCTTTTAGCTCCTTAGAACTATCCAGCAAGGACTTTAAGGGGGGTACTTAAACATGCAAGTTATACTGATTTTAGTAGTCAATTTGGCAGATTTAAAAATTCATTTTTTCTTCCAGCATCAGCCTGAGTGTAGTATTTATCTGTGAAGCTACCTATGGCTTGTTCTGTATTGCATTTTTTCTTACATAGTTGTATTTTCTTACATATTGTATTTTTTCTTACATAGTTTTTGTTCACAATATAATAAAAAACCTATTTAATTGAGTGGGAACTGTGTTGTTGCCTCTGTCACTCAGCTGGAGAATTTTTCTCATAGTGCTTTAAAAGCTCTGCAAAAATACAAGCAGGAAAGTTTCAGTGTGAGAAAACTGTTTGACATTAATTATTAATACATATTAATATTCATAAGGAACTTAATTAGCTGGGAAAGTCATAGTGATCTTATTTGCTGATTAGCAGAGAAAACACTGACATATTTTTCCTAAATTAACCTTGTTGACTAAAATTTGTGTCAATGAGCAAGTGCAAGGTTAAGAGCAAGAGGATAATCATCCTGGTGAGATAATAAGTGCTGAAGGAAAACTGATGCAACAGTGATTTTTCAGCATTTAAGAAATCTAAAGTGATAGATAATTCAGTTTGGAAGGACCTCTCAAGATAGGTTGGTCCAATTCCCCCAACAAACCTGGGCCAAATTCAAAGTTACCTTCCCCAGTGCCTGGAGGCGACACTGCAGTGTCTACAAAACACCAAATGGGACACTGCAGTGTCTACAAAACACTCAAATGCTTGAGCAAAGGAGGTAGATGTGATTACGTATAAAAGACAAAGTTAAGTGTGGTTCTTTCCAGTTTCATCCAGGGAAAAATGGTTTTTGCAGTCATCCAGCTGTCCTGTTTGGCCAGGCAGTGTTAAAAGTAAGCAAGATAAAATGCTGAAACCCTATTTAAAATGAGTGGTTTCATTCTGATCATAAGGAAAGGTCCCCCAAGTGTTGCTAAAATAAACCTCAGACTTTCTGAAAAAAAAAAAAAATAAAGACAGTGATTCAGGACAGCCATGAATGTACTAAGTAGCAGGTAGGCCTTATCAGGCAATTTTTTTATGATGTATCTTCTCTCCTTACTGATGGGCCACTGCAGAAGTGGCTCACAGGAGACACCTGCCTCAGGCTGCTGGGGTAAGGCACAGACAGGCAGAAGAGCAGCCAGGCTACGGGGATGTGGTGCTGAGAGCTGGCTGGGCTGAGCAGCAGCAGCACAGGCACAAACAGCCTCTGGAGGGAAGGGCAGCACCTCCTGCTTGCCTCCTGCCTACTTACACTGCTCTCCATCACATTTATTGAAGCCAGCAGTATTGCTTTATTCCCACTCCTAGGAAGGGTCATTACCCAGGGATTTCATCAAGGAAACATTCAACCTTGTTACAGCTCTGCCCAATGCTGTTTATGTGACTCATGTTGAGGGTGAGAATCAAATGCAAGTGAAGTTCTTGTGGGAGCTGACCTTGTTCAGCAGGGCTCTGCCATCTTGAGATAATTTTCAGGTTGCCTCTTCACAGCAAGAAAAGGCTGTGATGGAAGAAGAGGTACTCAATACTTCCAGGGACTTTTAAAATTGGATTTTGGCTTCTGCTATTTCCACATTGTGAATGTTGCTATTTTTGCAGCTGAGATTGGGATAGTTTGACAGCTAGGGAAAAAAACAATGAAGATTCTTATGGAACTACTTGTACTTTTCCCTATAACCTGTACAGAAAGCCTCAAAATTTAAAAAATCAGGAATCTTACTTAATCATGTGAAACTTTGTGGATGCCTGATTTCTTTTTACATTTTCTTCTTATTTTTCTCCCTAATGTTTGCTTTCTGTTTTGATCCACAGCCTTACTGACTGTGCATGTTTCATTATTTGGGTCTGATGCATTGGGGATGAAACTTTTAGGATCTGATAGCTATTCTATTGTCTCATGAAGTCTTGTAACACTTGCTTTAATTTTTTTTTCTGCTAGTCAGAAAAGCAAGTAAAAGTCATATTAAAAGGTTGTCTTTCCAGTGGTAGCTTTTGGATTTATGTAGGAGCCAGAGACTGAGTTTTTTTACCTTTCTGTTATGTTTAGCAAAGTGTACAACGATTATTTTGGTAATTTGACGTCTCCAAATTAAATTTTATCAAAAGACAGTGGGTACAAAAGAAAATTTCTGAATAATATTAATCTGTGATTATAAAATTCCTAGGATAAGCTCAGATCATGTTTTTGCTATGCTGTTTTGAATTTAAAGCAGCAGAAATTCCCAACTATCTCCCTGAGAAGATGAGCACAATAGACTCTCAGTTCAGACCTGTTTTCAAATGCACAGGAATGTGCATACCCAGAACTAAGGAAGATAAATTCAGAAAGGTTTAAATGATTGAAAAAAAGGCAGGCTGTGGTGTACCCTGAAAGCTGTGACTATGACAGCAGAAAGGGAGAGGAAAGACTTATGGATGTGACCTTAAAGAGAAGCTGAAATTTGGGCTTCCAGGGACCAGGCCCTGGAGTCAGGCAAACCCTCTTTTACAGGCATGGAAACATCCCAGCACAGCTTCTGCTTCTGCCTGCATAGAAATGGGATCTATGCACATTGTTTGCAAATAAACAAGATTATACTAAGAGCATATCAAACTTGTATCAACAATTTTTATTCCAGTAGAAAAAAAAATCCTTGCAAGGCCTTGCAGTTTGATGATCTACTTGAGTGGGAAGGGTAACACTAGTCAATAGTATTTCAAATACAAAACTCTTCAATGAACCTTGAAAGGCTTTGAAGAGTTTACTTTTCATTAGCATTTTTTTCTGGGGTAGGTTACAAAGTAAACGAAACCATCACATTGCATTTCTAGTTTTTCTCCAGTACTGGAGAGCAGTATGTGTGTTCCTCCTGTCTAAAACAAGACTAAAAGGAGAATTGCTCAAACTGATATTCAGAGCAGGCAAATCTGGACACAGAAGACGAGTAAGGAAACTGAAAAGGTTTGGAAAATAAATAAATGCAAATCAGCAGAAAGTCTGAAATAGACCAGAAGTCTCAAACATGTTTGGTACTGCTACAGCAAAGGCAGGACTTCACATAATGGAAATTTCTACAGAGCTAGTTGGAAATGCAAAAGAAAATGCTAGAAAAAAAAAAATTCAGAATTCTTGACAAATAGGAATACTTGACATTTGTAAGATAATGAGAGTTTTTTTTGAGGAAAATATATCTTTTAGACGGAAAATTTCAAAAAGTGAGAACAAAGTAAAACAATTTACTTCAGAAAAAAAAGGAGTGATACCATGTTTTCATAGATGACAATAAATCAGATTAAAACAGAATTTTCCTGAAGCTGCAGATTCACCTTCAGGTCCTTGACACATATGCAGTGACAGATTAAATCTGGTTGGCTGAAGTTGTTCTGACTCTGCCTATCCACCAAACCCTTAAGGCACAGCTAATGCCAGAGTGCTTTCAATCAAAAATCCAAAAATGGATGGATCCTAAATACAACTTGCCTTATCACAGTACTTATTTCATGGAAGGGTGAGGCACCTAGATGGGGTGGGCTGAATCTGCCATCAATTTTAATCTGCCATCACATTGTGTTTAAGCATTAAGTACAGTTCTGCTGCTGCTAGAGAAGAGGAAACTTTAGCCAAGATATGTCATTGGACAAGACAAACTTGAGCAAAATGTTCAGTCTGATCTGTGAGAAAAAAAAAACATACTGAAAGCCAGAGAAACTGAAGTTTTGTGGGTGAGAACAGTTCTATTAAAGGTATTAGCTGATCTTTAAATATTTAGCTCATCAACTGTATTTGGGAACAGCATGTAGAGGAGACAAAAAATACCCTTGTTCATGCAGCCAATTCTTTTTCTTTATAGAACAGTAGCATGAATATGGCCCAGACCACTTTGACCTTAGCTAATGACTTCTTTCAAAGCAGAACTGCCCACGAATTCAAATGCTCCCTGCACGGTCTACTTGTCATAACAATCCTTTTGAATGTGAAATCAGGACTTCTCTGGGATCTTCTCTTTGGATCTGGCTCCAAATAACAAGAATGCCTTCTGGCATCCCACACAGAGAAAGTTAATGGACAGACCTCACTTGACACAATTCTAATGAACATGTTTTGTCTTTGTTGCTCTCAGTAAAGTCCAGGCACTCTTTTCTCAGACCAGATCTCCCAGGAATATTTGAATTGCTACAGCCCATTAGGTAATTACAGACCAGGATTCCTGAAATGCCAGAACAAGGTCTGTGTTCAGGCTTATCTAGGTCTGGCAAGACCAAGGAACAGCCAAGGCTATGGGGAAAGCTCAGTCAGCAGTACAGCAGGCTGAAAAGGAGGGCTTCTTGGGCAGCAGGGAGCATTCTGTGTCCATTTCCCTGAGAAGCAGGGTATTTGTCCAGTCCTGCTACCTGGTTCTTCTGTCAGAGCACCCTGGGCTCATCTCTCAGTCCCTCCTGATGCCTGTGTCTGGCTGACTGGTAAATAGTCAAGAATGTGGCTCATGTCACTGATAATCACTGAAGAAACTGTTATCCAACAACACATCACTTGCTTTCACTCTGGGAGGGTGAACCATCCCACCCTCCAGCCAACAGAAGTGGCATGCATAACAAAACATTAAAAACAAAAAATAGAATATATCATCTGGTCCAGCTGAGTCTGAAGACCTTCTTGACTTTGGCTCCTTGAGAAGTGGGCCCATGAAGTTCCACAAGGCCAACAGCAAGGTCCCTCACCTGGGCTGGGGCAATCCCCAGCATCAACACAGGCTGGCAGTGAAAGGGTTGAGAGCAGCCCCATGGAGAAGCACTTGGGACACTGGTAGACAAAAAATTCTGACTGAATCAGCACCATGCACTTGCAGCTCAGAAAACCAACAGTATCCTGGTCTGTATGAAAGGAAGTGTGTCCTGCAGGTTGTGATAGAGGAGGGCTTTTTCTACCTCCACTCTGGTGAAGTCCCACCTTCAGCTGCATCCAGCTCTGGATGTACAAGAAAGAACAAGAAAGACATGAAACTGTTGGAACAGGTCAGGTGGAGGGCAGCAAGGGTGGTCAGGGAGCTGGAGCACCTCTGCTGTGAAGAAAGGCTGAGAAAATTGACTCTGAGGAAATCTCATTGCAGCACTTCCATACTTAAAGGGGGCTCATATGAAAAAGGGAGATAGGCTTTTTATTAGGAGTGTAGTGACAGGACAAAAGGCAAGGGTTTTAAACTAAAAAGGGTAAATTTAGATTAGACATAAGGAAGAAGTTATTTTACAGTGATGGTGAGATGCTGGAACAACAAGTTATCCAGAGAAGCTGTGGGTGCTCCATCACTGGAAGTGCTTAAAGTCAGGTTGGATGGGGCTTTGATCAACCTGACTCAGTGCAAGATGAGATGTTGGATTAGATGATCTTTCAAAGTCCCTTACAACCCAAACCATTTTATGATTTTATCATTCTTCACACCTGTCAGACTGTCGAAATAGAGAACAGATGGAAAGGTTGCTGTAGATCATAAAACAGAAGAGACCTCCTTTTCCAGGTTCCTCTTTGTACCTCTGTGTTTTAAGGTCACTGAAAGAATCACCTTCAAAGGAGTACTATTGGCAAAACCAGATTTAATATAAAAGCAAAAGCATATGAAAGTTTGTTGGCAAGTTTTCACTCTATTACCTATCGTGTAAAGCACACAGAGAAACAGCAAACAAAAATCCAAAATAAATCAATCAATCCAAACCAAAATAAACCCAAAACTAACTATGTACAGGCTGAGGGAGGGGTGGGGGTGGTGACAAAAGGATAGGGAAGGGTAAGGATAAAAAGGAATATGGAAGACCTTCCTGTTCCCTCACTAAACAGAGCCTGGACTTACCAACAGGTAATGCCTAAGGGCCCAACAGCACTTAATCTTATGAGCACTTAACCTTAACAGCACTCAACAGCACTTAATCAATGACAAGTTAAACAACTTGACAAAGGATTAATATAAAATTTATAAAAAATTCATTATAAAATTTACAATACCACAGCAGTAACTTAGAGGCCTTGCTTACTTACAAATCTGAGGTACTTAAGAATCTAGGAGAGCAATATTCCTACTACATTTGCTATAGCATATTCACACTTGCATGCACACAGACATAAAGGAGTCTGTACAATGTATATCTGTGGAAAATTTCCCTTGAATTCAGAGAATTACTCATGCATCCTCTCAATGGGTGAAGCGTTGAGCCTTAAGGTGTGGGTATATCAGCCACACCATTCAGCTGTCCTCCGAGTTTAGCAAACTTCAGGTTTAGCAAACTTCAGAGTTTGCTGCCTCTTAGAGGCCCCACCCAGAGGGATTTTGCTGTTTCCAGCTGCTGCAGTCCAGGACAGCTCCAAAGGTCTCACTTTGGACTGCTCTATGTAGGGTTGTAAGAGAGTTGGCTTTAGTCAGAGTGATTTTCCATCCTGGCTGCAATTTACATCAGTATCTTTCTTTGAAAGTTTGATAATGAAAATATTATTTCTCTTGGGTTGTTATTCGGGCAAGAAAAATAAATTTCCAATGCTGTTTGTTAAAAAAGCAGGAGCTCATTAGACAGCACTAGTTCCTGGGAGCCCTCAGTGTTTCTGACAAACTCAAGAGGAGCTGAGCCCAGGTGCTGCTCATCAAGGTCAAGGCCTAAGGAATGTTTCTCAGGTCACAGTCAGACTGTGAGTGAAAGTGGGATGCATTACCACACTGATGCATTTGCTTCAGACTTGCCCCCTTTTTTTTTTTTTTTTCATCTTCTTGCAGTCACTGTAATTTTGGGAATTCTCTTCACAAGCTCAGTTCAGGTATTTGCTCATGGAGGAAGCAGTACCTCCCCTTTCCCAATCATTACACTTGTATCATCTTCGTTTCATTATGTCAGCTATCAAGAAGTAACAAACTATTTTTTCCCTCTGCAAGGCAAAGCTGCATACTGCTTTAAGGTTTTCAGCTAGCATTTTCAAATAGCCTGTTGTTACACTCACTGCTTTTACCATCAAATCTGACATCTACAGCTGACTCTGCTACAGTCAAGTACTTTGGTTTTGTATTTGGGATTTTTCCTAATACTTTATTTAATTAGCTTCCCTTGGCATTTTTTAGATGCTCACATGGTATCTGAGGAATGTAAGGGTGACTACTTCATTCATTAGCTCTACTTTCCTAGCACTATTTTCCAGCTGATAAACAGATGGTTTTGAAACCACAAGAGAATACAAATTCATAGAACTGAGTTCCAGGAGGAGACACAGTAATTTAAACTGTCACATGTAACACAAACCATATTATGTCAACCAGTTACCTCTGTATTTAACCCAATTACTTGTGTTGAACAAAAGCATTGCTTGTGGTTGACTAAAATATGTACATGACACCTGATTTACAGCCAAAAAAAATCATGTCTCTATCATCTCACCAGAGATGATTAATCACACTCAGTACTAAATATTTGGGCCTTATTCTTCATTTGAATGACTCTGGATCTGTTGGCAGCCACTGCTGTTTGTAAGAAACCCATTGGCATGCAGAACTTTTTTCCTAGAGGTGTTTATTTGCTACATCCAGTCACTTCTCATTTATTCGACAAATTCAACACAATCAATATTTTAAATATTGTAGTGAAATGCATTTTCTCAGTCTAAGAAAACAGGTATAGACCTCTTTTTTTCAATTATTAAGGTTGATTTTTGTCCTTGAGGTCACAAATTCCCACAGACCATTCTGGCAGCAGCAATACCATATACCACAGTGAAATAGTTTTACTTTTCCTACTTGCAGTGGTCATTTATACATCCAAAAATCACTGCTTTAATATCTCTTGCTACAGCACTTCTATGGATATGCACGTTTGGTGAATTTCACAGGTACCAGTCCCTCATTTTGTATTGATTAAAGTTCCAAGAGAGCTTTGAAGATCTGTGAAGCTAAAAATATGTAAAGCGTGAGTTGAGCCTCAAGTACCTGTGTTTTTTTTTTTTAAATGCTGCATCAACCAGTTAAAATAAAACTGAAAAAGCTGAAGACATGGATTAAGAAGTCCAAATAAGCCGAAATTAGTGATAAAGTTTAAAATAAGTTAAATTTCTCTACCGAAATCCTCCCATCCATCCTTGGTCCATTTCTAATGCTAACTAGCAGACAGGGCAGAAGCACGGCTGAGAAACTGATTCGGTGACAAAATACAGGAGTTGTGATGTGTAATTTAGCAAAAGTCCACAAGAGGGGGTACGAGCCACAAGCAAAGCCTGCTCTGAAAATGGGATCTGCCTGGGCAGGTCTGCAGAGGGTTTTGCAGTAAGGTTTCACTTACATGAAAGCGCTTCTGGAGATCCTTTGGAGATGGGCATCCAGCTCCAGTGTGTTTTTTATTTAGACAGCCCGACCTCAGTTGTTTTTAGGATTCTAAAATAACTGAAATAGTTTCCATACAAAATAGTTGATAATAACATGTATTGAAGTAAACAGTTGAAAATATCCTATCAGTTACTTCAATTTTTGAGATAATAGGAAACAAATTCTGGTTCTAGAAAGAAATACAGCAGCACCTAACATTAGAATTTGTTTCCATGCCTTTATAGGAAAGGTAAAAACCCCAGAGATCCCTTTTTTACAGGGGGGTTACTGTGTTAAAACTGCAGATCTCCCTTAGGCCAGTATTGGTCATGTATGACTGCACCATACAGAGCAGTGCTGAAATCCCCATTTAACCTTTTCTCTTACATTTTGGCCCTAGATATTTTGTGTGGATTTTTTTCCAGTCTTGAGAGCTTGAAACACAAAAGTCTAAAGCACAAGTCTTAAAAAAATTTAGATGTTTTAGATGTTGATTTACAATGCAGCTCCATTCTCTTTTTTTCAGTGCTGAATGCTATGTAGAGAAGTACTCCTGTAATCAGGACACTGCAATAGCTGTTTGCCTGAAGAATCAAAAGCTCAGCCTGAGGATCCTGACATTTCTGAGCAATACAGCATGAACTTCTCCAGCCTTGATGAAAGCTGAAGGCAACTAGAGTTCTTGAAAATCAGTTTTAGCTAAGAAAACTTCGGTAACTTTAGATAAATGTAATTTCAGGTAAACCCAGTGTATATGTTTCTTGACATTTACATTTCCCCTGGAATGCATTTGTACTCATTATGCACTCCTTTCTCCTTTTGAAAGGTAGATGATTGCTGGTTACTGCTGCTGTCATCCTGGAGATTGGAGCACCTGGCAGCTGTTGTAACTTAGATCTGTTACAAGAGGGTGCAATGGAAATGCAGTAATTGTAGCTGAAACTCCAGGTCTGGAGGAAGAGGACATGGGCTCTTTTCCCACTAGACGTGGATATTAGCTCATTACACACAAGTACAGAGTCCTGTAGGAGGCTGTAAATACTGTTAAATCAATCCCTACAAGGGTTTCACGTAGGAATATTCATCTGCATTTTGACAGAGGGCTCTGGAGCATCTAAAGAGTGACCACACTCTACCATGGGTACAGCTCTTGGAGACCATCCTTATCCCACCCATCCTTGCTGTGTACCTGCCAAACTCCATGTTTTTCCCTCACTCTTAGTGACTAAGGGAAGGGAGATTACCCAACCTAAGTGTGAGTCCTCTTGGCCTTCCACCAGGATGCTTGTGGCTGGTTGTAGGAGGCAGCAGCTCTACAAAGCCTGACTTCTTTAAAGGCTGTACAGAGGATGTCCATTGTCTGTCCTGGACATCACTTGTGAGGGACCCAGCTGCTCCCCAGAGGAAGAAAGGAAGCCAGGAATGACCATCAGTAAGCATCATTCTGCTCATCAGCATTCTTGAAAAGCACCCCAATCTTATACAAAAAAGAACAAAATTGGGAGCCAGGGACCTGCCCTAAGCTAGGGAAAGCAGAAGCCATGGGACATGGACTTGGCACTGACAAAAACATGTGGAAGATGCTTGAGTTGGGGCAGAACTAGAGAAGGATATTCAGCAGTCACCATCTAGAGAGGAAGGGTGGAGACAGGCAGCTGACTATAATTGCAGGAGTGATTCTGGCTTCATCTGAGGCACAGGTTATATTTCTCTGGTGGAGGAACAGTATGTGAAAAGGCAGAGCAGCCTTTCATCCAGGGGTTCCACTGCCTCTCATTCAAATTTGACATAGGTGAGTGAATTTCAGTCACTTTTATTGAGAAAATTATTTAGGTGGGAAAAAATACATGAAAGCCTCACCAGATAAGACAAATAAGTAGCAAAAGTGAAAAAGTTGAAATTCTAACACTTAGGAGCATAAAGGTTAGAGGAGAATTCTGATATGAAAGACAAAAAAACCAGGAGATCAGAAGAGAGCAGCTCAGCAGTACTGAGGGCATCCCTGCTCCACAGAGCAATGGAAGTCAGCCTCTCCCCATCTCACTCAGGTACTCCTCTGATAAGTAAAGAGCCTTAGGACATCTTACCATGGCCAGTGAGCCCAGTAGATTATTAGTTCTAGCTCTGTATTTCTTACGTATTTTCATAAAAAAATCTTTGAGTTTGGCAGTTGGCTCTTTGATAGTGTTTATCCTGCCTTAAGAGTTCTTGCTTAGAAAATAAAAGTTACCTGAACAAAGTGGCTTCTTTGTTTCACCACCTCATCTGAGCAGGGTGAATGTAGAGATCAGTATCTTCAAGGAGATGAAAGAAGGGATGTTAAATTCCACTAAATTAGTTTTGGAGTTTAGAGGTCAATCCAAACGTGCATTTTGTTTAGGAGTACTTTTCCCAGTGTTTGAAGATTAAGAAGCAATTGCACCCACTAATGAGAAATTGAAGTAGATGCAGAAGAGACTGAAGAGAAACAGGGAAGATAGATGACAGAGAAAATATACAGAACTGAGTGGAAGAACTTATCTATGTCTTGAAATGATATATTTTCAGAAGGCTTTATCACATGTTCCTACAGTCTAAAGAGACAATCTTTAGCTTACAAAGCAAGCAAGCAAAGAACCAAAAACCCTTCTAAATTGAATTTGCTAGCTGTGGATCCTCTCCTTGTTTTGTAGATCAGACGTCTTGCTGTAGCGTGCTTCTCTACAGTCTGTAATTACAGGCTGTCCTCATTCTTACTGACATTTCCAACCTATAATATTCAGTCATAAATTCCACCTATCTTAGATGCCAAACTATTTGGGCTTTTATTACAAGCAGTACTTTTTGTTATGAAGTCATGTGGAATTTAGTATGTGGCAATTAATCTTCTTGAGATTCATAGAATATAATCATTGATATAGGAAAATACCTATAAATTCATCAAATCCAACCATTAACACAGCACTGCCATGTCCACCACTAAGCCATGTCTCTAGGCACCACATCTACTCTTCTTTTACATACTTCCACATTGGGTATCTCTACCACTTCCCTGGGCAGCCTGTTCCAGCCTGACAACCCTTTCCATGAAAAATTTTTTCCTAGCAATCAATCCAAACCTCTCCTAGTACAACCTGAGACCATTTCCTTTCATCCTGTAACTTGTTACTTGGGAGAAGAGACCAACCACTATCTAGTTAAAACCTCCTTCCAGGGAGTTGCAGAGAGCTGCAGAGAGCCATAAGGTCTCCCTTGAGCCTCCTTTTTTTCAGGCTAAACTCCCCCAGCTCCCTCATCAGACTTGTACACCAGTAAATTTGCTCAGCAGCAGGATAGAGTTACTCAAAGCAGAGTTGATGTGGATTAATTCCTGTAGGTTTGTTTGGGTTTTTGGGGTATTTTTTAGTAATTTCCAAGCTCTCTCTCCTGTTCCCTTCTTTTCTGGCTTGTTCTTCCTTCCTATCTGCCCTCCAGAGCTCACCTGTTCTGAATTTCTAGAGCTTGCATGGATTACTGTAATGTGTAATTTGCAATTCCACCTCATAGCAATTCACAAATACACCCAGCTCTTCTGTTCATAGAGCTGGTGCACCTTTTGGTTCAGCATTGCTGCATATTGAACTTGAAGATGTGATTCTCTTCTGTGTGAAGCTGAGCTTCAGCTATGTAGAAACAAACTACTCACCAAGCAAAATGGAGTGAAGCAAACTCTGGGGTCCACAAGGAGAATGTATTTGGATTGCATGTGGCAATAAAGCAGTACAGAGGCTGCATTTCTATTCAGTGCTGTGCAACTGCTCAAAAGGAAAATATTTTTTAAAAATGCCACTGCAATGCTGAAATGATTCTCCACCCCAACTCTGCCTCCTGGTTCTTCAACCCTTTTTTCTTTTCTCATGATCTGTAGCATATCTGCTATCTATTAACACTAATCCTACATCACCATCTTCTCACTATAAGCCTGAAGATTGCAGTGCCTTGTGAAAAAATTTTGCTGTCTTCAGCAAGGAACAACTAGGAAATGTCTGTGAAACATATAATCAAAGTCAGAGAAAAACACAAAACAGTCACAAGCTGGTGTGAGGATTGTAATTTTAAAAATAATGAGTTAGCCTCTCCTTTCCATCCTTCCATCCTAGTTATCTGACTTGTGATTACGGATATCATTGGCTGAACACCCACTTACTCTATAGAGTAAGAAAAAGAGTAAACATAATGATAGTATAGTTAAAAAATCACCATGTGAAATCTGAGATAAAATTATATAAAAATGGACAGCATAATCCCAGCCTTACACAGAAAACAGAAAAAAGAAGGGGACTTGTTGGGACCCAGGACATTCCTCTGACTGCCCTGGATGACTCGAGACCCTGGCAGGGGGCTCAGAGACCTTGGCACAAAGACACCTGTGCCTTCAACTTTAACCCCTGGAAACAATTACCACTTTGTGCAAAGAGTTATAAGCCACAAGAGTTTGAGTAGAATGATAGTTAATTTGTCACAGGGTGAAAAAGTAGAATTTTGGGGATTTAGAATGGGGGGTTCAAGAGGCAAGATGGAGGAATCTGGGCATGTCCTGTCCTTCTTCTTCTTGTCCTCCATCTTCTGCTGTGATGGTGGCACTTTTGGATTGGTTTAGAATAGAGATAAACTGTCTAACATAGGTGATAGGTATTAGGAAATTATTGTAAATAAAGTACACATAGTTCTTAGTATAAAAAGCTAACACCAAGGGCAGTCAGTGTGCCATGAACCAACCTGCCAGACAGATCTCAGCAAGTCAGAGAGAGAATGTTATAGATAAAATAAACAACCTTGAAAAGCAGAACCAACGAATCTCGACTTCTTCTTCAGTCCCAGGGCTGGGAAAAAGGGACTTTCTAATACCTCAGGGATCATTTCAAGCACAGAAAACCCGAGAGGGACAAATGCCTATGGGTGTAGCTGTGGGGCTGCCACAGGATATGTAGCCACTGGCTACACCACAGCCTGTGTCCCTCAAACCCAAACAACTTTAAATTTCTGCCAGGATTCCCCAGGAATTACAACTTTGCCCCAAGATAGGTACCCTTTTAAATATTCTGTACTATCCAACTGCAAAGAACATAACAGCTAGTGGCTTTAATTCCCTAATTATGCATTAATAAGACACAAATTATTTCACAATGTTCCTGCTGGAATAGAGAGAAAATATTGCTAAACATCCCTTGGTACACTTTAAAAATACAATAAATATATCATCAGGGTCAACTTTTATGATGCGTTACATAATATTTTTAACTCCTTAATACAATTCCAGTTCATGCTTTACACATATATTCGATAATGTTTTTGCTGCTGTTCAGACACTAAGCTGTTTTTGTGACATTAATTAAAATAATTCTGAAAACATTTGCAGAGTTCATTGTGATCAGTATTGAAAATATCCAGCTGCACTGCCCTACTTCTTTTAAAAAATTAGTTTAACTACCCAACTTCTCAATAAAATGCCCACATAAAGGACAGTGGGTTTTTTATTCCTTCACACACCCAGTGATATAAACACAATTATTATAGCTTTTTATGTAAGTGGCCTCTTGCTTCAGAGCTTGAAGCATCTCTGATTCTGAGCAACTGCAGCTTTATATAATCATTCTTCTAGTTCTTCAGGATCCCTACCACGCCTTGTCCAAACATTTACCAGGCTCTGCTGCTTCTCATGATGATGAGTGAAACACAAGAATAGATGTTCTTCTTTTTCATTTCAGTTTATACACCAGACTTGCTCCATCTACCTACCTGTGCAGGTAGACCATTACTAATTAATGAATGACAAGGATGCATAGTGTGACCAGGCTCTTTGTCACCTGTAGCACATCCACGGACAGCAAGGGTCAGTGTCACACTGCACACGCTGTCACTGACACTGCAGACATTGGTCCTCATTCTTCTGCTCCTGGGGCAGTTGTGACCAGGAACCACCAGGGACATGTGTTTTAAGGCTCTGCAGCTTAAGATGGCTCAGAACAATGCCTGCTCCTGCACAAGAGGC